TCCAGTTTTTAATATTAGGGAGGGGGGGAGGGGCCATTTAATATTAGTGTGATAGACAGCCTTGCCAGTTTACCTGACACAACTCTACGGAAGCCGCTTAAACTATTGACCATGCACCATGCAGGGAAGTGCACTATGCCATGTTCTGGGCATCGGGCATCGAGAGTTCGGATTCTTGAAAGGGCTTAGGCCTCATATCTCGGCTGGAGTTGTTTCGTGCTGGTGCCCAGCTGCAGAAACGCATCCTCTTTAACTCTTCCCGATTCTGGAACCCGGAACAAAGCCTTCACCCACGAGCCCCCAGCACGCGCACCTCGGCAGTAGCAAGTAACTAATAGTCGTCGTCGCTTTGCCCTGCTCAGGTCCATTTGTCAGAGCATCCATGCTCAAACCACAGACGTCCATTTACCAGAGCATCCTTTGAAGAGAGCATCCATGCCCACAACCAAAGCAGCGTCATGCAGCATCCATCTACCAGAGCATCCGTTTGTCAGAGCATCCATGCCAACACCATAATTGGACCATAATATCGTCCAGCTACCAGAATATCCGTTTGCCGGAGCATCCATGCCCACAACCATAGCAGCGTCCATTTGCCTGAGCATCCGTTCGCCAGAGCCTCCACCCTTAAACCTCAAGCATCCGTACCCAGCGTGCGCTGAGCCTGTAAAGGCACACTTTGGGCTATGCCGGTTTGCACCTGTACATGCAGTGCTGTACAGCTGATTTTTGCTACCAAGTGCGTGCCGGCATGATCACCAGTGCTATTGTGTAGTGTGCAATGCTTCTGTGCCGGCATATTGTCGCGCCAGTATTCACGATTTCCCGCCTGCCCGACAAGTGGGAAGAGCATTGCAGGCATGTCCGTCCAATGAAAGGAACTGCGAAGTATTCCCAAGCCCTCGAATACATTGTAAAAGAAACCATATAGTATTCCCTGCCCCCGGCCACGTAAGGCGGGGCACAAGGGCGGGGCAAACCCTGGCCGCAATAGTAGGCTGCCGCTACAGATATTGCTACGGCTACGGCCCACGACTGCTGGGCTACGGCGACGACATAGCAGTAGCAGTAGCCGCAGCAGTGGCAGTAGAAGTGGTAGCAGTGGTGGTAAGTGAGTGGTACTGAGTGCAGAACAGTCAGCCTTCCGATTCCCAGGACTTCAACCAGAGCTACCTTCCAAGTCCAGGGCTCGCCTTGATCAATGGCATCAATGCTTCGATCTTGTGCAACCGGTGGCTTCGTCTGCAAAAACAGAAACGCCTGCGCTAGAACCCCTTCTTGATTATAGCTTACAGCTTCTGTCCTCGAGCATCTCCTGCGATTTGTTTTTGATGTTTTTGGGTCTTTTTTAACCTGTTAGGTTTGTTTAGTTTCAGACATGAGAGGACCTTTGTGCCAGGATTTGCACACAAGCATGTATGCAAATGGGCCTGTCATGCGCATGCAGCAGTGAAGCTGGAGGAAAGATGTGTTCGCTTCAGTCTGGCAGGTCTTTCTACGCCTGGGTCGACGTCTGATCCCGAGCTTCTGCCTGTGGGGGATGCGGAAGTCGGTAATTGCCTGCCTTAGACACCGACTTGTCCGTCAAGAATGGAAGGTGAGTGTGGAGTCCATTGCGGTGCCAGAAAACCTGACGCTGCGGCCGTACACGCACTGGGCCGTTTACTCCATGTCTTCGCTTGTGGAGCAGTCCACGCCTACTTCCTTGAAGATCTATGTGACTCAGATGCATTATAGTAGGATCTGCAATCCTACACCACCATCGACCATGACAGCTGGTTCTTTGCGACATTTTCTCCAAATACGGGAGTGCGCCCATGCAGCTTGGAAGAACATGTCTTCGTCCGAGGATATGGTGGCGAACGTGTCCAACATTACGTTCCAAGGCTTCTCGCAAGTTTGGACTGTAGGTCTCCAGTAGCTCATGGAGATACAGTGTTCCAATTTGGCCGTTTGTTTCATGCAGTTCGCACGGGTGGAAGCCCAGGCCACAAACCTCGAAGCCCTCAGGTCAGCCGACACCTCAGGTACTACTAATTGCTCTGCCCCAAAAACTCTCACTCCGTGAAAGCGACACCGGGAAATCCTCAACCAAAGCTCCAAGCCCTCGGCAATGTGAACAGTGGGTTTTGTGACTCGCGCAGACTTTGCACCTTGTCCGAACCGGAATTGAGGGGGTCATTTGAAGTCTCAATGCCAAGCCAGCCCTGCAACAGCCACAGCCTACCTCGAGCCCGACAGCTTCACAGGATTGGACTTGGACTTGGCGCACTTGGGTGGAACCGTTGCATGGCAGCCACCAGCGTCTCGTCCAAGCTTGAGAGATGAGTTTGAAGCATACACCGCAATGGTCAAGCAGAAGGAATCATTGCCTCCGAGTTGTAGCAGCGTGCGTAAGTACATCCCAGAACCGGTTGAACCGCTGTACTGTTGTAATCAGCCTCCTGATGCACAGTAGCTATAAGCGGCAAGCCTGATAAACGTGCTGCGGCCGAAGGACGCGCCGCCTTGAGAACAAGCGGTGCGTTCTTGTGTGGAGGGCCGTAAATGTTTCTTGCTAGCGAGGGGCTCCCCGAGAACTCGGAGTTTGCAAAACCTGGGTTAAAGCCGGCTTATGATAGTGTAACCGTGTAACCCAACAGGTCCTCTGAAGCAATCCAGACCCGAGTAGAAACGCACCGGCCAGGAGATCATGGAGCGCGTGTACGGTTACGCCGTGTACCTGGCCGAGAGTGCTGCAGGGGACCAGCGTTTCCAGATTGGAAACGAGGCCCCTGCAGGGCCCAGAATGTTTTCGGAAGCTTCTTGTGTCTTGACGTGCCAATTTGCGCGGATAGAAGTGGCAGGCATCATTGTGTCGCTAGTTTCCAACATGAACATCGGTATCGCAGCTGCTACTACACGTACAAGTACGTAGGTGTTGACCGCAGGTAGCGACGCACGACCGAACATGCCGAGACCACTTCAAGAACCACTCATGATGGCACTCAGAGCGAGGATGTGACCAAATCCTTCTACCTTCCACGAATGACCCCACAGTGTTGGCTATGAGTACTAAACCGGCTGGTTGAGGCTCAGCTTTTAGGGTGGCGCGTAATCACTCTGGGTTTTCGTTTGTGGACTCTGCGTAGGATTCAACTGCTCATCTCAAGCCTTGAGCTGTAAAGGTGCTTGCCGGCACCGACGCCTTGTTGGTGCCGTCCAACACACTGCGAGAATCCTACACTCACTTCGTGGCTGGGCAAGACATGCACTATCATTAAAGTTTGGAGAGGGCCCGGAGCACGTTTGTAGGTCCATTCTAAACTTTGGAAACGCTGCACCATTGGCGGCCACCAAAGCATGAGTTTCCACACTATTCGTGGCCACCAAAGCATGAGTTTCCACACTATTCGTGGCCTCCAAAGCATGAGTTTCCACACTATTCGTGGCCTCCAAAACATGAGTTTCCACATTATTCGTGGCCTCCAAAACATGAGTTTCCACATTATTCGTGGCCTCCAAAGCATGAGTTTCCACATGATTCGTGGCCTCCAAAGCATGAATTTCCACAGTGTTCGTGGCCTCCAAAGCATGAGTTTCCACAGTTTTCGTGGCCTCCAAAGCATGAGTTTCCCACATTATTCGTGGCCTCCAAAGCATGAGTTTCTCCAGTTTTCGTGGCCTCCAAAGCATGAGTTTCCACATTATTCGTGGCCTCCAAAGCATGAGTTTCCACATGATTCGTGGCCTCCAAAGCATGAATTTCCACAGTGTTCGTGGCCTCCAAAGCATGAGTTTCCACAGTTTTCGTGGCCTCCAAAGCATGAGTTTCCCACATTGTTCGTGGCCTCCAAAGCATGAGTTTCTCCAGTTTTCGTGGCCTCCAAAGCATGAGTTTCCACATTATTCGTGGCCTTCAAAGCATGAGTTTCCACATTATTCTACATTGTTCGTGCTTTCAAAACCATGAGTTTGGACATCATTCGTTGTTTTGAAAGCATGGGTTTGCACATCATTCGTGGTTTTGAAAACATGAGTTTGCACATCATTCGTGTTTTACAGCATGGGTTTCCATATTGTAGTTTCCAAACAGCAGTTTCAACATGGTGCTGAAACCGAACCCCTAAACTTAGGCCAGCGCCTAACTTTAGGCTTTAGAAACTTTAGATTTAGATTCTTTAGATCCTGTATTTAGGTCCTAGGTCTAGGTCCTAGGTCCTAGGCCTAGGTTCTAGGTCCTAGGTCCTAGGTCCTAGGTCCAGGTCTAAGCCCTAAGTCTCCTAAGTCCTAAACCCAAACCCCGCGCTGATGGATGCGACCTTCTTCGAGTCATGGGCCGGGCGCCCCAGATTCAGCCAGCGTTAAGGTTTAGTTAGGTTTAGGAAAGGTTAAGGGGTTTGCGCTAAAGGGTCGTGGGTCGTAGTGCCCGCAGAGTTAAAGGGTCATGGGCCGTAGAGTCGTAGAGTATAGAGCCCTGAAAGGGTCATGGTCCGTAGAGACCTTAAACTAAAGGACTAAAGGGCCGTGGGTCGTAGAGCCCTTAGAGTTAACATTAAAGTTAAAGGGTCATGGGCCGTAGAGCCCTCAAAGGGTCATGGTCCGTAGAGACCTTAAAATAAAGGGTCGTGGGTCGTAGAGCCCTTAGAGCCTTAGAGTTAACGTTAAAGTTAAAGAGTCATGGTCCGTAGAGACCTTAAAATAAAGGGTCAAGGGTCATGGTCCGTAGAGACCTTAAAATAAAGGGTCGTGGGTCGTAGAGCCCGTAGAGTTAAAGGGTCATGGTCCGTAGAGACCTTAAAAAAAAGGGTCGTGGGTCGTAGAGCCCTTAGGCCTTAGGCCTTAGCCTTAGGCCCTTAGAGTTAACGTTAAAGTTAAAGGGACATGGTCCGTAGAGACCTTAATGGGTCGTGGGTCGTAGAGCCCGTAGAGTTAGAGTTAAAGGGTCCAGGAAAGGCCCGCTAGGCCCTAGGGGGTTGTGGGTGGTCAAATTAGGGCTTAGGCTTTTGGGTGGTGATGGGCTGTGTAGCATGTCAAGGGGACTGGGCTGTAATCCCGGCCCTAAGAGAGTCACAGGCTGTGCAGCCCTTAGCAGTAGCAGGGGTCATGGGCCGTGGTTAGAGCCCTAGTGGCAATGGGTTTGGTTTGAGGGTTTATAGAAATGGTTCAGTTTAGGGTTAAGATCCGCAGCAGTGTTGACCGGGTTTTTCCTTTTTTGTTTTGCTCGCTTGTTGTTTTTGCTTCAGATTAAGGTTCAGGTCCAGGTCGTGAGCTTGGGGCGCGTTTTGGGCGGGTGGAGGGTGTAAGCCAAGCTTAGGCTTTCGGTTTTTGGTTGTCTCTAGTTTTCGAAGGGTTAGAGAGTCTAGTCTAGTGAGTCTAGAGAGTCTAGAGTCTAGAGTCCAGAGTTTAGAATTAGAAAGGATGAGGTGGGGCTGTGAAGTGCTGTGTTTTGGCCTTCGAGGTTTAGGGGTTTCGGGTTCAGTGATGTTGGGGGTTGCAAACTTTCCTTTGAATACTGAAACCGGAAACCCTTTCACTGAAACTCGGAACCCCTAAACCTTAAGCCTTAACCGATCCCGTTATAATATACTAATATACTATATACCCTGTTGCCCTGGTCCCGGGGCCCGAGCCTGGGCCCATGCATGTGGAAACTCTGGCGGGTTATGTGGAAACTCTGGCGGCTTGTGCGGAAACTCTTGTGGAAACTCTGGCGGGTCATGCGGAAACTTTTGTGGAAACTCGGGCGGGTTGTGCGGAAACTCTTGTGGACACTCTGGCGGTTTGTGCGGAAACTTTTGTGGAAACTCGGGCGGGTTGTGCGGAAACTCTTGTGGAAACTCTGGCGGGTTGTGCGGAAACTCTTGTGGAAACTCTGGCGGGTTATGCGGAAACTTTTGTGGAAACTCTGGCGGGTTATGCGGAAACTCTTGTGGAAACTCTGGCGGGTTATGCGGAAACTTTTGTGGAAACTCTGGCGGGTTATGCGGAAACTCTTGTGGAAACTCTGGCGGTTTGTGCGGAAACTTTTGTGGAAACTCTGGCTTTTGTCATCTTAAAACGTGTGCATTCTAAAGTATTAAGCTTTTTTCGTTTGTTTCCACACCATTTCGGCAAATGTTTCCGCAAGAGTTTCCGCATAACCCGCCAGAGTTTCCACAAGAGTTTCCGCATAACCCACCAGAGTTTCCACAAGAGTTTCCGCATAACCCGCCAGAGTTTCCACAAAAGTTTCCGCATAACCCGCCAGAGTTTCCACAAGAGTTTCCGCATAACCCACCAGAGTTTCCGCAAGAGTTTCCGCATAACCCGCCAGAGTTTCCACAAGAGTTTCCGCATAACCCGCCAGAGTTTCCACAAGAGTTTCCGCATAAACCGCCCGAGTTTCCACAAAAGTTTCCGCACAAACCGCCAGAGTTTCCACAAGAGTTTCCGCACAAACCGCCAGAGTTTCCACAAGAGTTTCCGCACAAACCACCAGGATTTTCACAAGAGTTTCCGCATAACCCGCCCGATGTTCCACAACGTTTACACACCAGTTTCCATTCAACCCATCCGAGTTGTCCCACAGTTTCCTACTAGTTCTCGTGGACTTCCCGAATGTTTTGCCACCCGACATCCGGGCTTGCGGTTTCCTCTTCTGATGTTTTGGTTGCCCCAGGCCAGAGAATTTGTGGCAAATTACAGAACGCAACCGGTTGCGATCTGTGTTTTGCCACACAAATCCGGGTTTGCGGTTTCCTCTTCTGATGTTTTGGTTTCTCCAGGCCAGAGAATTTGTGGCAAATTACAGAACGCAACCGGTTGCGATCTGTGTTTTGCCACACAAATCCGGGTTTGCGGTTTCCTCTTCTGATGTTTTGGTTGCCCGAGGCCAGAGAATTTGTGGCAAATTACAGAACGCAACCGGTTGCGATCTGTGTTTTGCCACACAAATCCGGGTTTACGGTTTCCTCTTCTGATGTTTTGGTTTCGCCAGGCCAGAGAATTGGTGGCAAATTACATAACGCAACCGGTTGCGATCTGTGTTTTGCCACACAAATCCGGGTTTGCGGTTTCCTCTTCTGATGTTTTGGTTTCGCCAGGCCAGAGAATTTGTGGCAAATTACAGAACGCAACCGGTTGCGATCTGTGTTTTGCCACACAAATCCGGGTTTGCGGTTTCCTCTTCTGATGTTTTGGTTGCCCCAGGCCAGAGAATTTGTGGCAAATTACAGAACGCAACCGGTTGCGATCTGTGTTTTGCCACACAAATCCGGGTTTACGGTTTCCTCTTCTGATGTTTTGGTTTCGCCAGGCCAGAGAATTGGTGGCAAATTACATAACGCAACCGGTTGCGATCTGTGTTTTGCCACACAAATCCGGGTTTGCGGTTTCCTCTTCTGATGTTTTGGTTGCCCCAGGCCAGAGAATTTGTGGCAAATAACAGAACACAACCGGTTGCGTTCTGTAATTTGCCACACAAATCTGTGATGTGTGTTGCTGAGGCTGGACACCAGCTGCGATCCGAGAGTGCGGTCCGAAGAAGCCCGCGTGTTGGGGTTTGGGGTTTAGGCTTTAAAATTAGTGGGTGCAACGGCCCATGACTGACCTTTGAACTCTAAAACTCTATAGGCCCACGACCCTTTATTTTAAGGCTCTACGGCCCATGACCCTTTGAGTCTTTGAGGCTAGGGGTTCTACAGCCATGACTCACACTTTAAATCTAAGGGCTCTACTGCCCACGACCCTTTACTTCAAGGGGCCTGTGCGGCCCATGGCCCTTAAACGCCTTAAATCTTAAACTTTAGGACTTTAGGCTTTAGGTTTAGTTTAGGGGCTTGGGCTTGGGCTTGGGGCTCTGGTTTCCAGGTTGTAGGTTTAGGTCTAGGTGGAGTTTGGACATATAGGACCGGGTCTGGTCATTGAATGAGAGGGTCTTCTTCGTGCTGTAGCCGCAGCTGCCTGTGTGCAATCTTGGAGCTTGGTAAATAAAAATTAAAAATTGTGACAGTGAAACTGCTAAACGCTTTCAAATCCTCTGCGTACCTTGAGGCCAACTACTCTACTCGGCTTCAGCTCCGTGTGCTGCTGGCACGCAACAGCAACCGGCAGCTGGAAAAGTGCCGAGAATGCGGTATGCTTGCCCATGTGGAACTCACTTAGACTTCAAGCCGCTCAAGCCTGTTTGCGGAAGTGGAGACTGCAGCTTTTTTTACATGGAAAGACAATCAAGCATTATGATTGGAAACTCAGGCCCGGCTGTGTGGAAACTAGGCCTAGGCCCGATTGTGTGGAAACTCATGCCCGTTTATGTGGAAACTCATGCCTGTTTATGTCGAAATTCAGGTTCGTTTATCTGGAAATTCAAGCCCATTTATGTGGAAACTCATGCCAGTTTATGTGGAAACTCATGCCCGTTCGTGTCGAAATTCAGGCTCCAGGCCCATTTATGCGGAAATTCAGGCCCGTTTATGTGGAAATTCAGGCCCGTTTATGTGGCAATTCAGGCCCGTTTATGTGGAATTTCTAGCAGTATTTTGTGGCAATTCAGGCCCGTTCATGTGGAGATTCTAGCACTATTTTGTGGCAATTCAGGCCCGTTTATGTGGAAATTCAAGCACGTTTTTGTGGAAACTCAGGCCCGTTTATGTGGAAACTCAGGCCCGTTTATGTGGAAACTCAAGCCCGTTTATGTGGAAACTCAGGCCCGTTTATGTGGAAACTCAGGCCCGTTTATGTGGAAACTCAGGCCCGTTTATGTGGAAACTCAGGCCCGTTTATGTGGAAACTCAGGCCCGTTTATGTGGAAACTCAGGCCCGTTTATGTGGAAACTCAGGCCCGTTTATGTGGAAACTCAGGCCCGTTCTGCCTCTGAAACAGCCTGTTTAAGCCCCAAATATGGAGTTTAATAAACGTGTTGAGGGCCCTCTCCAAATTAAAGTGCTTTCATGCAGAATGTCGCTGTGTGGGAGATGCAAGATCTCCTGGCGCTCTGGTGATCTCCCCATGCAGTGTGGCGATCTTCAATGGTCAGCTTGTGACATGAGCTCAGGCAATCTACACGCGCTCCACCCTAGCAGAACAGCTTCCTGGCAACTTATAAGGGCTGATGCAAGAAGCGGCAGAGAAACCCTTTTGCTTGGCCATGTCTGAGGACGACTCCCTCCTCCTTGGCTTTCCTTGACGAAGTGTCCAAAGCAGGAAATGTAACTTTCGTCGATGATGACCTTGACCGCTACGAGCCCTTTGTCAGAGCTAGACATGTAAACGGTCCTTTCCTGGTTTGCTTGGGTAAGATACCGTTCAAAGCATCCAGACGAGGATCGGAGGCGACTTGATATGGCTGCAGCCCGACGATGACAGCGAAGTGCAACACTACCAGATCTACTTAGCCGAGGCTCTTCATGCTACCCCCCCCCCCCCCCCCCCCCGAATTCCCTAATTTGAGCACCGTTCTGTCGAAGGCACACACATTCACAATCACAAAGTTAGCTTACAAAAAGTGTCGCGTGGAGTAAGTCAATCATAGAAACCATTGGGCTGTGCGCTGGTCCAGTGTCTCGCGGTGCAGGACAGCTCTGGGAGCAATCGCTCTTTGCTGGGCAATGCAAGCCAGGGTGTGCACACATTTTCTGTGCCGCCTAATACGGCCTTGATGTCCTTTACGCACCTCACTGTCTTTGCTCAGCCTCCTGGCTAGAAGATCGTGAGATGAGCAAGACAGACCAGCAGCAAGTTTAGTACAGACCAGCAGCAAGTTTAGTAGGGAGGATGTGGCAATTTTCCCTTTCAAGCTCGTTCCATGGACGTGCCGCGAAGGTCCATTCTGTCCGAGCAGACCACGCCGAGTTCAGCCACGAGTCTATAAAATAGTAGATCTGGCAGCTCTAGCACCTCGAGTTCAGGGCACGGTGGTTCAGTCCAGAGCCATGAGTAAACTTTTCGGGATTCTTGCGCCACAGGTCCTGATCGTGGACACCATTGCAAGCGTTGCCAACCTCCGTCTCATCGACCTGGATCTGGAAGCCCGGAGAAGTT